GTGCCGGCCGGAGTGAGGTTGGATCTGGCGGATGGGACACTCTGTTTCCCTGACGAGATGCGGATCCAGCTCAGCGGACGGCGGCCGTTGTATGGAGCGAAGATGATGATCATAAGGGCGGATAAGACCACCTGGATCGAGCCCGGGGAAACTTGGGAGCTGCCAGACCGGCTAAAGTGGGTGGAACATGAAAGACTGTGAGTCACCCGGGGCGAGAAATGGGTACCTACCGTAATCCAAGGACCAGGTCGATCGCAATACCTCCAGGTCACGAACGTCAGCGACAAGAGATTATTACTGGACCATTATGAGGAGATCGGGCGATGGTTGGCGAAGGACGGTATTCCTAGGCGACCTGGATATGTGTCAGTGGGATCCCGCCGCTACAAAGAATGGCAGAATCTGGTGTACGAGGCGACTACCGAGATCGAATCTCTCGCAGAGGTGGAGCTCCCAGCGGAGCCAACTGGCCCCTCGGTGGATCGGCCTTCATATCCAACTCCGCGAAAGATCCTGCAGAGGGATCGACGGGTTGAGATCCAAGCAATGGAAGTTGGATCCAGGACGGGGGACGATCCCCAGAGTCGGCCCTTAGATAACGCAGGGTCGGTGGATGAAGGATTGCAGAGGGCTAAAGCCGAGCAGCCGGATCCCGCTGATCCACAAGTGGATCCAAGCTCTCCATTGGATAAAGTGCCTGGATCCCTATCGAGAGTGGCAACACCAGTCAAACCCGAAACTGTTTGGGCCTAAAACTCGTTTAGAGAACCAAACTGAATTCCAACTGGGTGGTTTCCCTGATAACCAGGTTACCTGAAACCCCCGAAGATAGAAGGACTGCCAGGCGAGAGAGGGCCGCGGTGTTTGGATCCAATGGTGGATCCTACGAAGACGAAAGATGAACAAGTCTGTTACCATGAAGGCGGGGATCTACACGCCGAGGATCTGGGAGAAGGCATGGCGGTGATCCCGGAGGTACCACTGACCACAGAAGAAGTCACGATTGATGATATCCAAGTGGATCCGGGGGCGAATGAACCTGCTGAAGTGGATCGTCTGCGTCAGAAAATCTGGGAGAGCCGACATCTGCTGATTAAAAAAGGTAATGCGTTACCGCCCGCTGCCCGCGGAGTCAAATGTGACATCGATGTCGGCGACGCGAAACCGATCGCTCAGAGGGTGCGGAAGGTGGCACCTCAGCTCCGGGAAAAACTATCGGACCTGATTAAGGGCCTGCTGCAAGCCAAGATCATCAGTTTCTCGACGTCCCCGTGGGCATCCCCAGTGGTAGTCATCATCAAGAAGAACGGGGTGGATATACGTCTGTGCATTGATTACCGGCTGGTTAACGGTCTGACTCGATTGATGGTGTATCCGATGCCCCTAATCAACGAGCTGTTGGAAGATCTGGATAAAGTACTCTGGTACTGTTCTCTAGACATGGCCAGTGGTTTCTGGGTGGTTACTATGACGGATCGAGCTCGCGCAATATCCGCATTCATCACACCGTTTGGCCTGTTCGAGTGGAACCGGATGCCGTTCGGATTGAAGAACGCACCCCAGATCTACCAACGCCTGATCGATAACGCCCTCTATGGATTCACCCGAATACCGGAGTCCGAAACAGGTGGGTCTGGGGAAGGCCATACGGAAGTGGATCCATTCGAAGCGGGGGAGCCAGGGGATCCTGGGACCCAATCTGTGTTAGGACGCAGATCTTACATCGACGACATTCTGATCCCGGCGGAATCGTGGGATCAGCTGTGCGAGAGAGTGACGTCCTTACTGGAGGCGTATACTAAGTGGAATCTCTCTATTAGTGTGGTAAAGAGCTATTGAGGGATGCGCAAGGTGGAGTACTTAGGCCATCGAGTTTCCAAGGAGGGATTGGAGGCGAATCCTAAGGACCTGTCTTCATTAGCCGATTTGTCCTTCCCACAGTCGTTACGGGCGATGCAATCTTTCTTGGGCAGTTTGAACTACTACAGTCGGTTCATCGAGGATTACGCCCTGTTTGCCGCGGTATTGTACGAATTGAGAGAGGTAGATTTTGCCGCGATGACCACTCCAGCTGTCCAGATGAAAATCCAACAAGCTCTGGCCCAGGAGATGCCGGATCCACGAAGGGATCCAAGTGGTAGGACGCCAGAAGAGGACCTGAAACAGGAGCTGGATCCACCCCGGGACCAACAGAGAGAGGATCCAGGCTGGATAGAGACGACGGATCAGAACATGGAACAGGCAGAATCTCGGTGGATCCGAGCTCAACACGCATTCGTGGAACTGAGGAACAGAATCGCGACCACGCCTATCCTCCGTCACTTCGATCCGGAACGTCAACCTACGGTAATAGTTTATGCCAGCGACTGGGCAGTCTCAGCAGCTCTGGGTTCAATTACATGAGGGGATCTGCTATCCAGTCACCTTCGTCAGCTGGACACTGAAGCCGAATAAACTGAACTACGGAGCGGTGGAGAAAGAGATACTCGCGCTCCTGCGCGTGTTGGATCTGAATCACAACCTGCTAGTGGGAAGACCCATCCGGATCCTGACTCGACACTCTACGCTAGCCTGGCTGTTCAAGTCGGCCGGGTTGCAAGGACGTTTGGGACAGTGGGCAGCTTTACTCTCGCCTTGGACACTGAAGATTGTGAAATGTTCGAAAGGGGAAGACGAGATCCTGGGAGTCTTGGCCGCGAGCATCACTCCTCGGGCTAAGATGGATGAGGCGCTGACTAGGGTCGCTCCTAAGAAAGAGCCCAAACGCCGGATCTAGATCCCGATCCCGACGGTACAGGTGAATGAGGATCTG